CTTTTTCAAGTTTATGTCCGCCGTGAGGATGGAAAACACCAACTTGGGTTTCACTTTTGGTCCCAAAGATGCTTTATTTCAGGTCATTCTCTCTGTGTCGATTTTTATGTGTACATAAATTATATATATAATGAAACCAAAAACTAAAAACAAAAATAGCCAAAATTTTATGAGATTTATAGGTGACCCACTTCTTGAAAATTTTCTCAGCATTTATGGGATTGTTGGGTTTGTATACTAAGATAAAATTTTTCAAATTTTGTTTAGTTTAATTTTTTTAAAAAAACTTCAATATCAGTTTCAATTTCTTACACATCAATCAATCTTTTTTTTTTTTTTTCACACACATCTACTCAACTATAACGAAATATTAAATCATTTCAAACTCCTAAGCTCTAAAACTGTTTTTAAAATATACAATCAAACAAACCAACAAAATTTCTAAATTCTCTCTCCAAATTTTTTTTAAAAAAATTTATCTCAAAACACAAACTAAACACAATATTTTATGTGTTTGATTTTATATTTAAAATTTTTGTGTTTTTAATTATTACACTAATTTGAGGCAACAATACTGCAAATAGAACTGTGTAAAATACCGTTCAATCTACTAAATCCAGATCAATATGCATCAATTCGCACCGCTTTAACCGCTAACTGCAGTTTAAACTTTTAATTTATAATCTGCCAACTGAATTGAATCACTCTGCTCCGCTATAGTTATTATATATATATTTTTTAACTTTCGATGAAATATCAATGTAAAAATGAATGTGAAAGAGAGATTTAAGGTATGGAATTTATTATAAATTAATGGTTATATTATATATAAAACATATTATGTAAAATAATTTGTATTATATATTTAAAAAATATTATACAAATTTGTATTATATATTATACAAATGTTATATATTATGTAAATATATGATAATTAATTAAAATATTTTTCAATCTGTCAATCCGTTAAAAATCGCTCAAATCATAATTTATCAATTTACAAAATCATCAATCCACTATTCAATTTATAATTTCACGCTCAAATTGTCCGAAACCGGCCGTGCACGCTCCTAACTGCAAACAGATTGCGCAATCACATACACTCACTTATCTGAGTTGAGATCCTCTCCTTGTGCTCTCTCCTTGCCTTCCAACTTGTAATGGTAGAGATATACTTTGAGTTGATCCAATGGTCCAAATTTGAATACGAAAAGCAAATTTGAATTTGTTTTATTATTTTTATATTTTTAAATAGTCAAATCTGAATCATTAGATCAACTCAAAATATATCTCTACCGTTGTAAGTAAGAATACAAGGAGAGAGCTCGAGGAGAAGATCTCAACTCCACTTATCTTTGTATGACAGGTCCAAGATGTGAATGTGTGTTTTGTACTTTATGTTCTTAGCATTCTTATTTTTATCTTTTATATATATTTTTTACATTTGATATAAGGACGCAATTTGAACGGGTTCAGTCAAATTGAGAGGTTATTTAAATTTATTTCAAATTGTGTTAAGATCTGTTTAGACTAAAATTGTAACTTGAAATTGCCTATTCAAACCTAACCCGAGTTCAACCCGAGTTATTCAAATTGCACGTAAATTTTAATTTTTTTCAGATAAATTATTAAATTGTTAAAATTAGATTTAATTTATATTTGTTTAGAAAATCATTAATAAGATGAAAATAAATAATTTATATAATGTAAAACAGATATCGCTATGGTACTTTTTATAATTTATGAGTGAGAATAAAAAAGATAAGATTTTGTATTATGTTACTTGTATTTAATATGATTTAACAATATAAATTATTTTAATATCATCTAATAATTAATAATTTATATATATTAAATATTTTAATATATATATATATATATAATTCGAGTTCAAGTTGTTTAATATTTTTACTGAAGCCGGTCTAATTTAACTCTGGACTTTTAAATTTTTACTTAAATCCATATCAAATTTAAATATCTTCCAAATTCTAAAAAAAATTCAAGTTAGGCTCGAGTTGTTCAAATTAAATTCGCTCAAATTATAGTCTTAATTTGATACAATACAAATTAGGAAAGTGAATAAAACATATTTTTCATCACCAATATGATATAAGGGTTTTACTACCATCACCACCACTGAAATTGCTACCAATCACGAACTCTATCATCACCACAGCGACTGGTAGCATCATTATCAATTTTAGGGTCAAACTGAGCGTTATTTAATTTAATTTTTATTTTTTTTGGAAAAAGGGTAAAAGATGTGACAAACGAAGCTGAGAAATGGAACTTGAAATCAGTAAGCATATGTTAGACTCAATGACTAAAGTAGAGGATGCATGAACAAATATAAAGTTGGAATGCAAAACTATAAAATTGTACTTCCCTTAAATAACCAATATATTTATTGGAGGCGGATCCCTTTCGGTCGAGATTTTGGATTGTAGAGTGTTATTGAATTTTTGGGACTTATTATAAATTTTGTTTTGATAATTTGAATCATTTATTTTGTTAAGCAATTAATGTATTTCATACATATAAAAAAATATATCAATCCGATAATTGTAACTTATTCCATTTATTATATTTTTAAATTTTTTTTTAAAAAAATTATACTTTTAAAAATAAATAATAATTTTTTTTGGTTAAATATATAATAAATTGAACAAGTTACAGTTATCAGATCGACTTAATTTTTTATATAGATGAAATACACAAAGTGTCCAACAAAATGAGTGGTTCATATTATCGAAACAAAAGCCGTGATAGTCCAAAATCAATACTAGAGGAAATCCTCCTCCGTATTTATTTCTTAGTAGATATAACAGAGCAATTCTAATATATATTTTAAAGAATATACCATATCAACCCTTAATTATGTTATTTTCTTAACCAATTTTCTTATTTAGTTATAAATTATAATATTATTTTAGTTATGACTTATGATTTCTTTAGCTGTAGCTCATGAATGCAGGAGTGATGACACCGGCCCCAATCCGCGCGAGAAGGAATCCAAAATGGCCTAAAGAATGGGAAAAAGATTGGGAGATGTGTGAAGCTTCTGCTTCATCCATGCTGAGAATACAGAGTGTTCCCATCATGTATCCTAATGCCAAGATCATGAAGGGAATAGTTGAAGAAGATGGGTTCAAAGAAACCAGTGACCCATTGAAGCTAAGTGTGAATTTTGATATAGAAGAACAGTCATCCAATTCATCAAAGTTTCAGGAGATGGGCAGCTGCTTAGCATGTGGAAATTGTCTTGCTGGTTGTCCTTATAATGCCAAGAATTCTACAGACAAAAACTATTTGGTTTCTTCAGTCCAGGTTTTTATCCTCTTATTAATTTTTTTTTTTTAAATTAGAGAGAGAGAGAGAGAGAGAGAGAGAGAGAGTAATGCCTTGTCATTTTCAATATATGTGAAAAACTAACTCCATATGATTAACTGCCATGATGCTTACCATCCACAAAATGAATCCAATTCTCCAATAGCGTTGTACATCAAATGTTACATGAACACAGTGAATTGAATCAGTTGCAAGCTATGAAGCACAAGTATTTCAAAAATGTTGCGGTACTCATATTTGGTACTAATATGCATAATGATAGGGCTACATCCATATCGGGTGCTCGAAATACGTACCCGGTATATTTTACATATTCTTTGGCAATTGATACTCTGTAGGCACGGGATGGGTACATCGGGTACACTAAGTTATGGGACATTGGTGAAAATATATTTAATTTGTTAGAGAGTTTTAATTTATTTGAAATTGCAAATCCTTTGCTTGATGTGCAATGAAATATTTATTATTCAATGATGAAGTTGATGGAAGTGAAGATTGAAATTTCAAGCTTTCAAATTTTGCTTAGTTTGCTTTTGAAATATGAAATTTTGTTTTATAATTTTTGCTATTTAAAGGCGTTAATATAGCTTATGGATTTTGCTTTGATATTGTTATTGTTGAACAATGATTTCTCTTTTGATTTTAGAATTTCCCCTTTTAGTTTTGGTAGTAAACTTTAATTTGTAAGTTGAATCTCAAACTATAAATTATAAAAAATAATAAATTTATTGGCATACCTCAACCATACCGTTATCTTATTTTTTTAGGTTTGATGTATCCGCATAACATATCCATACTTGCACCCGTGCTTTGTAGGTTGCAAGTGAATGTTTGTACCTTGTGTGCGAATCCCTTCTATCCTAAAATCAGATTTTGTGTGATTCAGGCAGGATGTACCATCAAAACACAATGCCAAGTTCAGTATGTGGTACAGAATCCAGATTACATTTGTGAAAAGGAAGACAAAGTTAGCAGGAAAAAAAGGCGGCGCTGGCATATATACCTCAATGAGATTGACTATGTTGCATCTGATTTTGTTATCCTCTCAGGTAATATGACATAGCTATAGATACTCAAAATCTTGTTAAAATTTTAGTCAGACAAACGTTACGAACTTTAAAAATAAAAATATAAAATACTTTGAATCACTCTGCAGGTGGAGTGTTTGGCACGACTGAGATACTATTCCAGTCTCAAATGAGAGGACTGAAACTTTCTGAGAGACTTGGATCAGGTTTTTGTTGTAATGGTAACACTGTCGCTTATCTTGCTGGTAGCCCTGCACCATTGGGTGCTTATGCTTTGGACAAAAAGCAATTCACAAAGATACCTTTTCAGGAGAGGCCAGGCCCATCCATTTCTTCATCATACACCTCTTCGTTGGGATTCACAATTCAGGTTGAAGTTTTATGTTCATATATATAGGAGTTCTTCTTCCATGTCTCATTTGTGTTTATGATTATTGTCAAAATTGATACATGTGGTACCATTTGGCGCAGAGTGCAGTACTTCCAGTGGCATATCCTTACCTTCTATTTAAAGGGATCTTTACTTATGGATGGCCTTCTGGCTATTGGTTCCTACATGGTATTATAGACACCCTAAAACGTGTGTTAGGAATGAAATATAGCAATGCACTGGTTTTCAATGCAATGGGATATGATGAGAGTGATGGAAAAATAACATTTGACAAGGACACTAACAGAATCTGCTTTCAGCCACCCCTTGATCATTTACTACCAAGAAAAATTGGAGTGTTTCAAAAACTTACAAAGAAATTGGGAGGAATATTGTTCATGTCAAGGTATCGGAGCGCATCAGTTCATCTTTTAGGGGGTTGCAATGCATCATCAGACCCTTCACAAGGAGTTTGTAACCCCAATGGTCAAGTATTTGACACAAAGTCTCATAACTCAGTGCACCCCGGCCTCTATGTTTGTGATGCCTCCTTAATACCTTGCTCTCTCGGCATAAATCCATGTCTAAGTATTGCCACAGTGGCTGAGCATTTAAGTAGGAACCTTGTGTCAGATGTTCTCAAGCACAAAAGTGACAAAGGTATGGTTTTGGTAAATAACTTGGGTGATCCGAAGCCAGGCTCAATTACTAGTGTGAAGCTAGATAGCGATCGAAAATCAATGGTTGTCGTTAAAGAAACCATGAGAGGCTATGTGGGTGGTATGCCATGTGTAGCTTATCTCAAGATGAAAATGAACTCTAGAACTTCGAAGGAATCGGATATAAAGAGTAAACTTATCGGATTATCTCATCCTCTGCTAAGGGGTAAAGTTGGAGGATATGTTTTATTTAGTGCTTTGGAGTCTGATAAATTACATATTGTAGATGGGGAAGTAGATTTGTGTGAAGTGGATGAAAGAACTCCGCATACGCAGTATATGCACTATACTCTCCTTCTTGCTGCTTCTTCTGGCTCAAGGTCTGATATGATCTAAACTTAAAATTTATCTTCATTCTGACATTATTTATTATGGTATTTGTTTTTCACATAAATAATAGAAATTATTTTTCCTACAGATACATTCTTGAAGGAAAGAAGGTAATGAAGCCTTATCTCTTTGGATCATCTGCATGGAGGGAGACAACGACAATGAACGTGACATTCAATAAAGTCTGTATGGACAGTGCCAAGGAAGATATGCTGAACTTGAAAGGGAAGCTTAATATTTCCATGATAGAGCTCCTGAAGTGCTTGATAAGCCTAGAAGGGAACATGAGAAGAAGGTTTGTTGGTGTGCTATTACAGAATCTTTTCAAAACCTACATTTTGCAGGTGCCACGAGGGAGTCACAAGGAATTCAATTCTTCAGAATTACACCAAAAACCTTATCAAGACAGCATTCTCCACGAGATACAAACAGGTAGGCAGAAGTATACAATCCATAGATTTGTAACTTGCAAGCTCGTTTGTTCTCTAAATTGTTCCGACTCAATCCAATACTGTCTTGAACCAATACTCTTGGACAACTACAACCGAAATAGTAATATGTCCTAGAGCACCTTATGGACTATATCAGTACTCTTTTTTATTTTTATTTTTTATTTATTTACTCTTTTTTTCCTTTGGTACCGGAGTTCTCAACGTACTGTTGCTTCTTTGGTAATTGAACAGAAGATGGGTTTATCATCAGTTGCAAGCAATGGAAAGGAGAGAAGAAACTAAATCCAATTCTCCTAATTAATGGTCATTCCACTGAGAATTATTGGCTACCCACAGAACCAAATGATTTGGTTAGAACTCTACTAGAAGAAGGGTATGAAACATGGCTGCTGCAACCAAGATTACACCCTTTGAATCCTTCAAACAATTTCACCATTGAAGATATTGGCAGATTTGATATACCTGCTGGTAAACAAAAAAATAAAAAATAAAATTCTATATAAAAAATGTAGTTACTAACCAACTCAACTGGCCTATTTTTAACTCTTATTTTTATTTTTGTAGTGATCAATAAAATTCGTGATTTACACGGGCCATTGATAAAAATACATGTGGTTGCACATTGTGTTGGAGGCTTAGCAATTCATGTAGCTCTTATGGGAGGCCATGTCTCTGCAGCCCATATAGCTTCTCTATCTTGCACCAACTCTTCGATGTTCTTCAAACTCACCACTTCATCCAGAGTCAAATTGTGGCTTCCCCTCATCCCGGTAAGCTTTACCTCTTCGTAATTCTCACAAAATATGATTGGAAGTTATTTTCCATAAAAGACAATTCGAACGTGAGGAACTAATTAAAATGTACAATTGGTAGAAATCGGAAAGTGGCTCGTGTTTGAATATGGAAGCATTATGTTCTCGTTCTTGAATCATTTGGAATTTCTCAATCAGCAATGCTAGGTATCATGAAAAATCTTTCATGAAAATAATCATGAAAGCTTTGATTACACTTAGAATAAAGCACTACACATTAATCAAGGTAATCCAAGGATTATAAATCTTTCATGATTATTTTCATGATCCCTAACTTTTCTCTTTCTCAAAATTTAGATATTCATCATTTAGTGACTTATATAGCAGAAATTCAACTAATAGTAAAACGATGGTTATCTAATTTTGGTTCTTTAATATAAGAAAAATTTAGACACCGAGGCTTCACACCTTTACAAACTGTAAATGGGGGTACCCATTACTGTTGAGGCTAATCAAGGTAGGCCTACAAAGAACATAGTTTTGACACCATTTTATATATGTTTTAGGCATGCATTCTTTTATAACTTCAATCATATTGCAGATGTCGATGGTCATACTAGGCGAGAACAAGATCCTCCCTTTGTTCAAGACATCAAAGGCAAGTTCACGACAAAAGCTCCTAAAATATATTGCTCGTTTGGTGCCACGTTACGAGAGATGCACCTGCGATGAATGTGAGGTCTTTTCTGGGATATTTGGTAACACATTTTGGCATGACAACATAAGCCCCTCCATGCACTATTGGTTAAACAAACAGAGCTTACCAAGGCTTCCAATGGCTGGATTTCCTCACCTCAGAAAGATTTGCAATGCTGGTTTCATTGTGGACAGCAGTGGTAAAAACTCATACTTGATACATCCCGAAAGAATGGCGCTCCCTACGCTTTATATATCCGGTGGGAGGACTCTCCTTGTGACTCCCCAAACTACTCTTCTTGCAACTTACTACATGAAGCTTCACCAGTCCGGTTTTAGACATGAAAGGGTGGTTGTGGATGGCTTTGGTCATTCGGATTTATTGATTGGGGAAGAGTCCTATAAAAAGGTTTTTCCTCACATTCTATCCCATATTAGATTAGCTGAGGAAGCAACAAATTGTTTGCTGGACAGTGAGAAAAGAAAGTACAATAAAGAGGCCTTAGCATGGGGTGGTGATCCATTACAAGAAGGAAACGGAGGACTTTGGAACTATATTTCTCCTTTAGTTGCCACCTGGTTGCTCTTCGTGTTGTTATTGTTAGCCATGGTAGTTTACTTTTTTCATCAAAATCTTGCTTGGTTGCTAAGAAAACACTAGAAGGAAAAGGAATCAATCTTTTGATTCTTATGTTTCTTATTATCCATTGACAAATGGAAAAAAGAAAAGGAGAAAAAAAAAAGAACAAAAAAAAAGGCATCCATTAATAATTACTCCTTTGTAACTGTTTTTAGACATGAAAGGGTGGTTGTGGATGGCTTTGGTCATTCGGATTTATTGATTGGGGAAGAGTCCTATAAAAAGGTTTTTCCTCACATTCTATCCCATATTAGATTAGCTGAAGAAGCAACAAATTGTTTGCTGGACAGTGAGAAAAGAAAGTACAATAAAGAGGCCTTAGCATGGGGTGGTGATCCACTACAAGAAGGAAACGGAGGACTTTGGAGCTATATTTCTCCTTTAGTTGCCACCTGGTTGCTCTTCGTGTTGTTATTGTTAGCCATGGTAGTTTACTTTTTTCATTAAAATCTTGCTTGGTTGCTAAGAAAACACTAGAAGGAAAAGGAATCAATCTTTTGATTCTTATGTAACTGTTTTCATTTAACTGAACTGAAATGATCAAGTAAGTATTTCCAAGTATTGCTTGAGTGATGGGAGAGAGAAGGGTTCTTCAAGCCATTATAATAATTGTAGAGGAGTTATGAGACAGCTCAATTTCTTCCATGAATGTCTCCCTATTTATTTGTTTATCTGTATATTTCATTGTACGCTGTCGGGCTAAATTATGGTGTGATTAAGCAATAATACTTCTATATATTTGGTAGGAAAATGAGTCAGACTCCTAATTTTGGATATTTCTATGACCTCTAAAATGATATGAACTATTCATGTGTGTTATTTATTTATTTATTTTTTCCTTTCTCTCATACATGAATGATTCATATCATTTTAAGGGTCATGGGGTCTCCAAATTTAGAGGTCTCAACCATTATTGTATTTTATATTATATATTTTCAAACCTTTTTAGAGACCGTTCAAAAATTACAAACTAAAAACTAACTTACTTACAATGAGGTGTACACATTCATATAATCCGTGGCCCATATCAGATTGTAAGTAATTGATAATTTAATTTGTAATTTGATATGAATATCTAATATTTTTGTATTTTTTAACCCACAGATTTTCAAACAATCTGTAAAGGAGTTCTTATAATAATAGGACAGGACTCACCCACTTTTACAAGGTTAATATGAGTCAACACGATTGTCAGTTGATATGTTGTATTCTATGGATAAGCCACCAATCCATAGGCCCGTAGAGTGCCAACTTTCAAAATTTGTAACATTGAGAGTGCGTTCATATAATTTTTAACAAATATATATATGTGAGAGTTTGGCCTAAAAGTCTAAATCTTAATTTTATGTAATCAAAAAGTTCATATGTTAAAATATTTTGTTTAAAAAGATAAGTTAGATAAAATAATCAAAATATCTTTATATATATATATATATATATAATTGTACAAAATAACAACAATGCTATAGAGCTCTAAAAGTAGAGCTCTAAAAAGAGCTCTACTGAGCTGACATGTCCAAAAAAAAAAAAAAAAAAATTTCAAGCTAAAACATCACATCAAAGTTGGGCCCCACACAATTCCATGTCACTAGTGCTTGGTTTAGAGCTCATTTCCTAGAGCTCTCAAGCATTTTTCATATATATATGAAAAATGAGTTGGACCCCCTCAAGGAGGCACCCCCTTTGACCCCCTCTCTCTGATTGGCCAGTTTTTCTTTTTTCTTTTTCTTTTTTTCCTTCTCCTCTAATCATCACCTGCCACGTATGTGTGGGGGTAGTGGGGGTGGTGATTGGAAGGGGTCTCAATCACTTCCCTATATATATATACTAGCAGCAACCCGTGCTATGCACGGGAACGTATAATTTCAATAATTTATTATAGTCATTTTTGTATAATAAAATAAAAAATTCTTATAAATTTAAAATATAATAGGGAATTGTAACTAAGAAATATTTTAAATATGATAACTATCTCATACCTAAGTTCATACATTCATTTTTTTCATAAATTTGTCATTTAAAACATTTATTATAAAATTATCTTAGTCCAGGTAGGTCATTTAGCAACATGAACTATATTTTTTTTGGGTGAGTAATTTTTTTGGGTGAATAACATGAACTATATTTCTATCGGACATTATTATAGCTTTAAAAATGAATAATGTAAAAATGGGTACTATTACAAATAATGTAAAACTGTTCAAAGGCCCCTCTAAAGAAAACAACAAAAAAATGCCCCCACTACATATACACATATGTATACAAAAAGAATAAAATTCATCAAACCCTAGAATCCTACAATTGCTTAACTAATTGTGATGTTGTTGATGATTGAATGCAACTCGAATCTTAAACGCAGAGTTCGTGTAACGTCCTCAAAATAATACATAAAACCCCATATTCTTGACAAGCATTGATATAAGAGAAATAAACACTTTCCATTTATCAGAGTAGTCCTTACAGATGTATTACATGTTGACATCAAAAGTAAATGTCCAACGGCTTATAACTTTCCAAGTTAACACTTGGTTACACAAAAGAGAGTACTAACTCACATCATATTAAGCACTTGGCCTGAATTTACATGTAATACCACAAAAGATAACAAAATAACAAAAAGACTCTTCAACTCCTAAGACCTTCCAAGCTATGTCCTTGGAGGTGGCATATCACCTGGGCCTGAAAATGATATCCCATATAGGGTGAGCCACAGCCCAGTAGAGGTATACTAAACCAAATATAAGCAATGACTAAAATAGTAGCATTTGATAGATGGTTAACACTCATAAACCAATTATATCGCAATACAGTTCCATGACACTTGTGTCCATGTTACATTCCCTTTTTCTTCACTTATCAATTCATTTCATAAATGTGGCTCAGAACCTGGCCAGATAATTTAATAACAACTCATATTAAACACTTCTTACTTTACAATAGATACACATAATTGCTGTATCAATCTCAAACAAACACTTCCACACTTCATAAATGATATGCAGCTTTGCTATATCAATATTTCAATAGATACACATATTTGCTGTATCAATAGAGTACATCCCCTATCTCCTCTCAAACAATGTCCGGTTTAGGAGTCCATCCCCTATCTTCCCCTAAACCGTGGAGTACATCCCCTATCTCCTCCCACACAACACAATGTATATAAATACGTAACATATACAAGGTCGATCAATACATAAGTTTGATGTATTATACCAACGGTCATATTCGATGACATATTCAATGTGATTAGTTTCGATTTTTCCTAATCAACATGCAGTATCTACAACAATCAAGACTATCCTCCACCGATAGCCCAAAGCAGTTATTTCTAAACAGAAAATAAATGCATTAAACGGATATAATATCAACATTCTCATAGGTGAGTGATAAATTAATCCAACTACACCATTTAATCACATAATTTCCCAATTTTATTATTCTCAACTCAATTTCACATTTTCCCAAATTAATTATACAAATTAGTTATTTATTACAATTAGGACATTTACCCCCTTTTTCCAATAATAGCCCTAAGGCTCATTTTTTACCCATAATCCATAAACAACCTCCATTTCAAGTCTATAACACAAATATGACTCAAACATGGAAAACCCCTTTTTTAGAAATTACAAAACAAACCCTAACTTTTTCAAAAATTACCCAACAATCCCAACATATCAAAATGCCAAAATTTAAAGACAAAGCTCATAAGATAGAGTAGGATATCCCTACCTCGAAATTAGAAGCTCCAAGGAGAAGATGACCAAAAACCAAAGTGCTCCAAATCTGAGATTTTTCAGATTAAAAGCAAGCCCTCGCAACCCTTTATCTTTCTTACAAAGAGACTAGGCTAGAGACTCACTAGAAGTAGATCAATCCCTAGAGAGAAGGTGTGTAGAGAGAGAGAGAGCTCGGATCTAGGGTTTTGAAAATGAAAGAGATGAAAAAGTGAAGTGTTTACCCACTGCTGCCTACTGATATAAAACAGGCTTGCTCGAGTGAAGGATTGGTCGCTCGAGCGACCAGACACAAAGAATTCTTGCTCGAGCGTAGAAAGCCTCGCTCGAGCCAAGAATGCGAAGCTTCAGGTCTGCAATCCAGAAGCACGCTCGAGCGACAGAATGCTTACTCGAGCAAAGGAACTCAAAACATATACCTCGCTCGCTCAAGCGAAGGAAAGCTCGCTCGAGCCAAGAAA